ACACATAAATAAAAATAAGAAACTTTCTTTTTAAACGGGAGGGCATGGGAAACCAAGGTGGTACTGGTGTCCAGAAGATCGGAATTTGAAAAGGAGCAGGAAAAAAAAAATCCTAACTGTTCACAAGTTTGCCTTGAAAAAAAAAAAAGAAACGGGATTCTTAAAAAGGAAACTAATTTTAAAAATTCTTATTTTATTTTATATATATGGATGTTTTTCCTATATGTATATCTTTGCACTACATAATTGCCTAGTACTCATGGAGACCAGAAGAGGACTTTAGATCCCTTGGAACTGGAGTTGCAGGTGGCTGTGAGCTACCTTGTGGGTGCTGGCCAGAGGAAACGAGGTCCTCTGGGAGAGCAGCTGATGCACTTAATCACTCTGCCATTTCTCCAGCCTGACTTTTTTACATTTGCTTATGTTTTTGTGTATATGTATGTGAGCACACACTCATGCCAAGTTGTATGTATAGAGTTCAGAGGACAACTTGTAGAAGTCAGCTGTTGCTTTCTACCATGTAGAAACTGAATGCAGATTATCAGGCTTGACAGCCAGTGAACTACCCACCGAGCCATCTTGCTGGCCTATGAGTATTGCTTTAATTCATTAAGTCCTAGGATGGTTTGGTACAGGGCACTGATAACTGAAACACTACTATAAATTTGTCCAACACTCACAAGAAACAGGTAAGACGAAAGCAAGACCAGAACAACTGTAAACCTAGCAATAAAAGACATTCAGGAGAAATGCAAACAGTATTATTTTCTGAAGAATTTGGAACTATATTTTGATCATTTTGTTTTGCCTGGGATTTCAGGCAAAAAGGAATGTATGTTCATTTAAAGTACTCTTCTCAGAAGACTTTTTTTTTTTTAACATTATCACCTAGAGGTCTACCAATACACCATTCAACAGAGTGGGGTATAAGATTTTTGCCACCCCCTACCTCTTTTTTTTTTTTCAGAATCTCGTGTATCCCAGGTTGGACTCAATTTAATTATATAACTGGGGATAATTTTGAATGTCTAATGCTTTGGCCTCTGTCTTCTAGCTGCTAGACTATAGGTGTACATCATCATGCCTGGTTATGGGATTCCAGGAGTAAAATCCAGAACTTCATAAATACTAAGCAAGCACTTTACAAACTAAGCTACAGATACAGGCTCAGATGCATTCATTCATTCCCTCATTCATTCCCTCATTCATACAGTGTTCATTTTTGCAACCACTTGCCACACTGAAGTCCAGGCTGGCTTAGAGCTCGCTATGCAGAAGTCTTAGAGCTCGCTATGCAGAAGTCTTAGAGCTCACTATGCAGAAGTCTTAGAGCTCACTATGTAGCCCACACTGATCTTAAACTTAAGTAAACATTTCCTGCTTCAGTGTCACAGGTGCTGAGATCATAGGTGTGAGCAACCACACCTAGAACCACTTACTTGTAATGCTAAAAAAACCCTCCCAGAGGATCTCAACATTGTTGTTTCTGTAACTGTAACTGTGGTCTCACTCTGGCTTCCCCTTGGCTTTCCACTCCTTGTGATCTCTTTTGAAAGAATTTTGGGTAAGACACAAGAGAGCATAGTATCAAAGAGAGACACGTGACCCCTCACATCTGTACTGAGCAACATACACCCCTCCTCCAAACAAAGCAACCTGTTACTCTACCCTAATAACTTAGCGCCCCCATGGTAACTCCAGTTTTTGTGGTTAGACCCACCATGAAACTTCTCTTGGAGCTAAAGGCAGTGAGCCCCTTTAGCCTAGACTGGTCTTAGGTAAACACCCAGTAAAACACACGGTGCTCAAATAAAGTTTTAGGGAAAATCTATTCATAATTCTATGCCTAGGCATGATTGGGCACGTACATAGTTGAAACGACTTGTACAGTGAGCAAAACTCATCAATTAAAATAGTAAACTCCCCATTCCCTGCCCTAGCATCCAATCTCTCCTCTTTCTGGATCCACAGACAGGAGTCCTGAAGAAGTCATTCAAGGCTCATAAAGAATCTCACTTGAGCCTGTCATTCCCTTGCAGAGTTCTACTTTGTGATTTCACTTTACTTTTGAACAAAATCCCTTACTGGTTTGCTATTTGTGTTCACTTCTTTAATTTATTTAAAGAAGAAGACAATAACTTAAGAAAACTTAAGTTCCAGAGAGAGACCACTGGTAACACGAGTAAGGTTTAGTACAGAGTAATATTCAGTACTCTCAAAGATGAGAGTGGGCCTGGCCGAGGGGGTCACTGAAGAGGAAACCACTCTCAAGGAAGGTAAGAATGAACAGTTGCTAGAGGGACCATTGTGTGGGCCACACTTTAGAGGGCCAAGAGCTGACAATGGCCAAAAGAACCATTGTGCCAACCTATATTTTTAGGTAAGTTTTATGCTATTTTGTAAAGCCTCTGGAACAAAAAGTACTGTGCATGGAGGAGTTTTCTGACCAGATGATTGAAATCCCATTTGAGTTAACCATTAAGTGGGGTGGCAGCAATGGTATGTCTTTATTCTTTACTAGAAAACCCCAGGATAGACATGATCTCATGGTCTTTAGGGCAGTATAGAAAGTCCTGTCTCTACAAAGGGTCAGTGATACATTCAGATCTCATTCTTTTGAGCTGTAGTTTAATCTTGCCATTTCAGTTACTAGTTTTACAAGCTACTCATTATGAAGGAGTATTCTAGCTCAATGACTTTTATATCTGTGAATATTTGACTAGCTTCCCAGTAGTCCCAGGACCACACTTTGAAAAGTGAGTATGTAAGGCATCTCTGGTAACTTTGCTGCATACATCGAAATGGACATCATAAGGCTGCTCTTGGAAGAGTAAATGCACCTGTTGAAGGAAAGTAATCTGTGTAGGGTCCAAGCAATTGCAATCAAGCTCAAAACTTACTCATGGATTGCATTGGTCCAAGAGAAATTTTTTTTTAATACCCAAGGGAATACTTCATTTCTTTTAAGAAATCCTCTGAAGATATTATTTCTCAAATTATTCAAAGTTAATATTCCTGGTTAGAATACAGTGCTAGACAGGTTCTGTTGTTGATTAAAGAGAGATTCATATTTTTTAATCATCAGAAAGAAAGGACATCTACATCTGTATCCAAAGGCAAAAAGAAAGAGAGAGTCACTAAGCCACTAAGCCTGGCTTGGGCTTCTGAAACCCCAAAGCCCACCTCCAGTGACTTTCTGCAATAGTGCCGCTCCCTATGAGCCTATGGGGGCTACTTTAATGTAAACTACAAGAGCATGTACCTGTGTGTGTGTCTGTGTGTCTGCGTGTGTCTGTGTGTGTGTGTGTGTGTGATAGAGAGAGACAGAGACAGAGTGAGAGACAGAGAGAGACAGAGAGATATCCATGATATGATATGTGTGTGAAGGTCAGAAGACAACTTTGTGGAGTCAGTTTGTGTTGGTTCCAGGAATCAAATTCAGGTCATTAGGTTTACAAGGCGAGCAATTATACATGCTGGGTCATCTTGCTGGCCAGAGGGAGAACTGGCTCAAATAGGTATGGAGAATGAGGAGGCCCACAGTCAGTTGGCTGCAAGCTGGAGTGTCAGGAAAGCCACTGATGAGAGACTGTATTGTCTACAGACTAGAAAATAAGGTACGGATAGTTAATCTCAATTGTCAGCTTGACTGAACAAACTCACCTAGGAGACAAACGTCTAGCCATGCCCTTTCAGGAGTTCTTACATTGGGTTAAGTGAGATGGAAAGATCTTAAATGTGGGTGGCACCATTCCACAGGTCCCAGACTGAATAACAGGGAGAAAGGGAGTTGAGCACCAGCGTCCATCGTTCCTTGCTTCATGACTGTGAATGTAGGGCAGTTAATTGCCTCACCCTCCTGCTACTGTGTCTTCCTCACCGTGATGGACTAGAACCACAAACTCTGAGCCCAAAGGAGCTCTTCTTTCATCAGGTTGCTTTGGTCATGGATTTTTGTTAGAACAATGAAAACAAAAACAAAGACAAAAACAAAACAAGCCCAGGTACACTAAGAGAGTGGCTGCTCTAACTCTTTCCTTAAGGCCACAGGCCTGGTAGCCAGGGTAGAGTAGGGTGCAAAGCAGGGGCTGGTGGGTAGCACTGGTCATAGTGTGAAAACCAGGAGAGGAAATGTCCACTAACACAAGAACACTGATGACTCGATTTAAGAACAGGGTGAATTCACTATATTAGTATATCTGGGCCTTTGAATTAGATGATGTCCATCCACAGTGGGTGAGGATAGATCGTCACTTAGTCTACTGACTTAAATATTAATTTCTTCTGGGCTGATCTTCTTTACATACATATTCATAAATAGTGTCTTACTACGTATTTGGGCACTCTTAACTAACCTAGGCTAACCTATAAAATCAAACACTGCACTTGGGAAGAGTACCATTAAACTCCTTCAACAAATCATTCTGGACCGTTCCAACCTACAAAGAAATGGACAGTCAGAGCCTCATCATACATGAGAATAGAATATTTGCATGATAAGTATTACCTGCTCTCTGTTAAAGGACAATTTGTGCTGAACATGACTTTAAATGTTATAAACATAAAATTTTGAATTAATACAGGTATGAATATAGCTAATAGATTTTTACATGATTAATTAATGTAACTTAACACTTAATTGATTTCCATCCATTATGGTAAAGGCTGAAAAATGACTTTGGAGCCCAGACAACTGAATGCTTTCCAACACACAGGTCTCTGAAAGTGTTAGGGTTGAGGTGGCCAGATGGCTTAGTGGGTAAAAGCACTTGCCACACAAGCCTAATGACCTGGGTATGATCTTGGAAATGTATGTCATGCAGAGGTAAGGGTATCCAGAACGTTGTCTTCTGACATTCACAAAAACCCAACAGCACACCTGTGTCAGCACACATCTCTTTCACATACACACAAATAAATACAATTATGATCATCATCACCACCATCAGCAGCAGTGGTCATTAAATTACAAAATATAAGTCCTAGGACTTGTCACTTACAGACAAAAATTCCCGAAGCTTGTCTGATCTTCATAGATCGCTGAACTGATAAATCCCGTCTTACCATCCAAAATCCGGGATAAGTAAAGAATGAAAGAGGGTTACTAAATGAATGAGGTTGAAGTCATAATTAGCAGAGAGGAATATAACCCTCTACAAACAGAATGGATCGTATAATCAGAAGTTTATAAGATGGTGACACACCCAAGTCAAAAAGTAGACCTGATACCACACTTCCTGTTGAAATTCATGCAAAATTAGCCACAAGTTAAAAGTATGCATTTAGCTTGCAGTTAATTTACCATATGATGAGGATGGTGGCTAGTCACTGGAACAGAGAAAGAGATGAAGAGACCAACATCAGAAGGAAGCAGACCGTGACCAACGTTTTTTACAAACAGGATTATTAATGTTAAGAAGATTTTCTATGTCATCATTTTAAATTCATTTGTGCTCTAGAAAGCCTCAAGCAACATTCAGTATAATGAAATGATGAAACTTTACATGCACAGGTAATTAGTAAAAAAAAAAAAAAAAAAAAAAAAAAAAAAAAAAAAAAAAAAAAAAACAAACAAAAAAAAAAAATACAATTTATAAAGTTAACCTACTGATAAAAATAGTCTGTAAAGAAACAATTTTGCCAATTAGCATAAGCTTGTCTGTGCTTTTGAATAGATTCAAGTCTATCAGGGTTTTCATCACCAACAGCTGAGATGTCAGTTGCCAACCATTGTGTACATCCCAAAATGTATTTTACTCTCATCTTTCCTTCCTTCCTTCCTTCCTTCCTCCCTTCCCTTCCCTTCCCTTCCCTTCCCTTCCCTCCCCTCTCTTCTCTTTTCTTCTTAAGACAGAATCTCACAACATAGTTCAGGTTGGCCTTAAACTCACCATGTAGCTAGGGCTGATCTCAAACTCACAGCACTCCTTCTTGTCTCTGCCTCCAAACGCCGGAAGTTACAAGTATGTGTCACCACACCTAGCCTCCAGTTGTTCTCTTATAGATCCATAGGTTTTTTTTTTAAATAATCTTTTCATGTTCTTCTTAGTAGCATTTTGTGAGTAAAGGTAAAAATTAGGGTTGATACAATGTACTTAATTTTGAAAGCCACTATACTTACTGAAATTTTACTTTAATGGATATAATTTGTGAGTTTTTGCTGTGTGTGTGTGTGTGTGTGTGTGTGTGTGTGTGTGTGTTTGTGCGTGTCTTTGCTACTGCTGTCTCCAACTCTGCTAATAGCTGCTGCCACTGGAGCATGATTGTGGAATGATTTATTCACATTCCACTCCATATACTTTCTACTATTTTATTATTTTGCTTTTTTATTGTTCAATAAGAATATGTCATTTTTATATTATGAAAAATATTTTTATTTTGTACAAGATTAATGCATAAATGACATTTATTTCTTGTGGTTATTCAGTCAAATCAAAACAGAAAAGAAAAGACAACAGGAAATGAGTAAGAGTATAAATGAGTATTTTTTGAACGTTGTCATTGAAATCGAGTGCCATAAAATAGAGTGGTTTATTTTGTCAGTATTTTATTCATTGAAACCAAACTCCACTTTGAAGTGCGTATTAATTCGTTAATGAGTCAATGACATTTAGTTAAGTGCTAGTGAGCAAAGGAGTTCTTTGAATTAGGAAATCATAAAAAGCTGATGAGTGGAGTTGGGGAGAGAGAAACACATAGATCAGTGATTGTATTACTGACTTAGGAGTGCCAAGGTATAGACTCAAAGGAAAGCTTTGCTCAACACAAACGCAAAACACTCCTCCTGAATTAGGGGGTGGTATGGAGTTAAGGGGGAATTTTCAAAACTCTGACCCTTGAAGTGATCTGTTCCTCTCAACCTCCACTCCCTCCTAATGTACTGAGAGTAGTAAAATGCACTGCTTTCTGCCATTATCAAGCCGTACCCTGGCCTCATTTACTCCATATTTGCAAAATAGGGTTGCTCAGACTGCACGCTGCCCTGAGAGATTATATTTTACAAACAATTGTAGGCCCCATTTTGAAGATGGAGGGTGACTTACTCCTTTGGTGGCTATAAGCAGGGACATCTTTCCCACACCAGCCATATAGCACAGATTGATGACTTATTCCCAAAAGTACAAAGGATGCTACTCTAAAATTTTATCAAGTTAATTTGGGACTCTAGTAACACATGTTTGTATTAGCCATATAAGGAAAATCAGGACTGAGAACGTGTTGGACACACTAGACTGAAGAAAGAGTGCAGCTCTTCCCCTTAAGTTCTAACAGTGTGACAGCAACTGAACCCTAGGCCTGATTGTCACCTGGTATTTACGTTAAGATATCAACAAAAATGAACTCCTGACTGTCCATTAGCTTAGCTCAATCCCACTGTTGATGCAGGCTACTTAAACCTCTGTCTTCCGGTTAATCCATTTAGACCAGCTATCCATCTACTCATCCATCCATCCATCCATCCATCCATCCATCTATCCATCAATCCACCCATCCATTTAGCCACACACTCATTTGCCTAGGACTAATCCTGCCCCTGTAGCTTCCATTTTCTCACCTCTAGCTTCTGCAGCTCAACTTGATTTTGAAGCTTGGCTCATGCTTGTGACCCAGTGGCTTGATCCGATGGTAATACCTCAAGCAGACCTTTAGAAGGTTTATCATTTCACTCCACAGAGACTCTTTCATAACTCTATCAGTTTCCCATTTATGCCTCTCATTGAAACACCTTGAACTCTGCTGTAGTCTCTTTAAGCTTCTGTAGCCCATCTGTAACTTACTTCTATATGTATATATAGAGAGATATATTTTCTGTGTGATCTGAGAGTTAATATTAGTAGGTAAGGCTAGATTTAAGGAAAATTTATGCTTGCTTCTGTGGCTATCAAGACAATCAATACAGCAAATTGCTGTGAACAAATCTGATGTTCCTTGTGCATTTATTGTTATTCAACAGTTTCTGATAGTGTGGAAAGATACAAACATGCTTACTAAGTTTCCGATGGAGAGAGCTCATGACATTTTGTTTTTCTTTTTATGAGGTTCTTTTTCTCTTATATTTGTTTCACTTAAAAAAAAAAATGGGTGTATGTCTAAAAAACATGGCTGCCTAAAAAACCCAAACCAGAACACCAACGGACATGCTAAGATGCAAGGGGAACCTCACCAGGCCTTACCTTTAAACAAAGAATACAGCTAAAAAATGGTAAGTAGCAGAGAAATAGTCTTCCCCGGAGGTGTGGGGGCCTCTCATTGGTATCCAACCCCAATGGTCAGTCTGGAAATCATGTACATAGAAGCAACACTGAGCAGGTATGAGAGGAGTTGGAGGAAGAAATGAGAGTGGAGGGGAATGATGAGATCTTATTTTAATTAAAATAAGGAGGAGTGGGTGTGTGTTAATGCTTAAAGCTTACTTTCAAGTTAGCTTAGAAAAGATTTGTGTCTCCTCTCTGAGTTGAGTGCCAAGATAATATTAAATAGTTAAGTCCTCTAAGGTTTACCATTGCTAAACATAGACTGAAAAGTGTGACTGGTCTTTTGCTACTTTGTAGATTGTTCTTTCTTCCACCTTTCTCCACCCATTTTCTTTCACAAGGTCTCTCATACCCAGATTGGCATCAAACTCCCCATGTAGCTAAGGATGACCTTGAACTTCTCATCTTCCTGTTTCTATCTTTCAAGTGCTGGAATTAAAGGTGTGCACCACTGTGCCTAACTCATGCCCTGTTGGGGCTCAAACCTGGGGCTTTGCGCATACTAGGCAAACACTCACTGAGCTATATACCAAGCCCTTTCCCTTGTTTTATGTGACTTATTTCTGATGAATACTAAGTTTAGCTGAATAAATACTGAAATCACCTAGAACATAAATTCACAATACTTTTTTTTTAGTTAAATATTGCAGACTGAACCCTCCCAATTATCTCTGATCTACCCTCAAACCTACTAAAAAGATAAGAAACGAAGACAAAATTATTAGGATCAGGAGAAATGAAGCTAGTCAGCACAAAATGATAGGTTTTTATCTGTTCCTGTTTACTTATTTTCTGCTTGAACTTGCTCTGCTTGGGTCATCACTTTGTCCTGTGAACTTTGTCCAGTGGAATGGGCGCAAACACTGCATAAGATATGTCTGTGGAGAAGTGTCAACTTACATCTGTGGTTTGGTCTTTTACGATGCTTGTGTCCTTTCTCAGAATGAAAGTGCCCTAATAATGTCTGTTCTTTTGCCAGAGTGACAGAATACAAAGATATACCAAGACAAAACCCACAAAAGCCTAGTAGAACCACACTCATGTAACCTAAGCCCAAAATACATGCTGTCAGGACTTGGGATGTAGCTCAGTTGGTAGAGTGCTTGCCTAGCATGCACGAGGCCATGAGTTAGATCTTGGCACCACATGAGCCTAGTATTGTGGTAAACACATGCAATTTCTGCTCTGCAGGAGGAGGAAAAATTCAAGGCCTACCTAGATGGCACAGTGAGCTATCCTGAGCAACTTAATGAGACTGTACTTAAAATGGAATTTAAAAACTGGGAGTTGGGGAACATAATTCAGTGAATTCTTCCCTTAGGGTGGTTCGAATGAGATGTTCCCTTTAAAACTCAGACATGTCCCCAGATGGTGGCTATTTGGGAAGGATTAGGAGATATGGCCTTGATGACAGAAGTAAGACATTATGGGTAGGGCTTTAAATTTCAAAAGACTCATGCCATTTTGTGTGTATTCTGCTTCTTGTTGGGGGTTCTAGATGAGTTCTCAGCTACTGGTCCAGCTGCTTGCCACCTGCTATCTTTCCCTCTGCTACCCTGGACAAACCTTGAACTCTGTACATTGGTGTTTTGTCACAGCAATCAAAAAATAAATAAGGGGCTGGAGAGGTAGCTCAGCAGTTAAGAGCACTGGTGGCTCTTGCAGAGGACCTGGGCTTCATTCCCAGCACCCACATGACAGCTCACAGGCATGGGCAACTATGATTCTAAGGGATTCATTGTCCTCTTCTGACCTCGGTGGGCACTGCATGTACATGGTGCACAGACATCCATGCAGCTAAAATACCCCTACACATAAAAATAAATGATAAAACATGATTTTTAAAAGATAAAAAGAAAATAAGTAAGACAGTGTTCTAAGGGTCCTTGGTCTTCTTGCAAGATGCCTTA